GTGGGCAAGTGGGGTGGTGGGTGGCTGCAGAAGCGGCGTGTGTGACCATTTATGAAGACCTCTCAGAAGGTGGGCTCTTCTGTGCCACGTGTGCCACACACTATGGCATCCTAGCCTCCTCAGTGCTTTACAGAGGGCACAGGGCAGGGTGGAGGAGTGGGGAGGAAATCATTAGCCTGAGGTCACATTTGACCTGCCCAAGGACAGGTGAGCATACAAGTGACCCTGGAGTTGTCAGTTCTCTCATTCTTCCTCCTCCCCATCCCAACCCTGCAGAGGGCCATGTGGGGGCAGAGCTTGCTCACTGGGCGTTACTAAACAGCAGAGCCACTGAAACGAACAGCTTGATAAAGTCCCCTGGTGGCTTCATCCTTATGCTTCACCCCCAGCTAGTGGCCAGTACCAGGGGCAGGGCAGAACTCTGCACCCCTCATCTCTCCTAGTGTACCCAGCAAGCGTGCACAACATTTTCGGTGTGTTGGTCACAGCTTGCTTAAAGCAAGGATTGGCATCTGCTCCCAGACAGGGCAGGCAGCAGGTTGTCAAGAGCCACTGTGTCCTTGTTGTAGTGGCTTAGCCATGCCTGTTCCACTTCATGGTGCCAAAGCAGCCACAGACTTGCATTTGGTGGCTGACTAAAGGCTTCCTAAGGACTTGGAGATTCTCTGGTCCCCTGGTAGTCTGGGACACCACGTGCAATGTCCCAGCAGGTGGCGCCAGGCCACTGCCCGGCACAACGCCCAGGAGGGAGGCCCAGAGCTGAGGCCAGAGCTGAGCTCTGGGCATGCCCTCCCATACCAGGGCAAGCCTGAGGCAAACAGCATGAGTCGAGTGGAGGGCCTCCCAGGGCCAGCCTCTGAGTTGCCCTGTCTACGGGGTTCAAGGCTATGGCCAGTCTGAGAGTGCTGGGGATCAGTTCTGTGGATGGCACCCAGCACTTTTCAGAAGTGAAGTAATAGAACGTAGCAGCGTACATTACGGAATGATGCTGACTATGTCATTCTTTGAGGCTTAAATTATATGCATTGTGGACTAACTGGGTCATGGTCAAAGACACACCTTACTGTGGCATGAGTTAGAGGACTCTGAACCATAAGTGAATATGGAGGAGAGGTAGGCAAAGAGCAGTCAGCACTCCCACCCCACCCACCTCAGCAGGGAGAGTGGGGGCCATGGATGCAGAGACACAGAGCTGGAGGTGGCTTCTCAGAGGTGGGGAACTCTAGGTGGAATCCTAAAAGGTGAGGTGGAGGAGGGACTGAGGGGCAGAAAAAGCAAGTATGATGGGTGTAAGTCAGAAACAAGATTTGTTCTGGAGCAATGGTGTCACAGAGCTGCAAAGGGGGCCTGCAGGGGAGCTCAAAGGGAGAGGGCTAGGCCCTGGAGATGGAGAGGAAAACACAGAAAAACCATCACCCCAGGGGCCATGGAAACCCCATCCTGAGAGAAGGTGCATTTTAAGAAGCCCTTCTGAAGCCAGAGCTGGTGGCTCGTGCCTGTTAATCTTAGCTACTCAGGGGGCAAAAATCAGGAGGATCGCAGTTCAAAACCAGCCTGAGCAAATAGTGCCCAAGACCCTATCTTGAAAATACCCAACACACCCAGACTTTCAAAAATTGTGTTTTTGGTGAACATTTAATAACACATCACAATGCTCATAGTGAGAATAAAAGTTTTGTTAAAAAAAAAATACCCAACACAAAAAAGGCTGGTATAGTGGCTCAAGTGGTAGAGTGACTGTTTAGCAAGTGTGAGTTTAAACCCCAGTATTGCCAACAAAAAAGAAAAAAAACCTTCTTAAAAGTACCGCCCCCTCCTCCTCTCCAGCTGCTGTGCTTCCCAGCTGCACCAGAATTTTGTCACCACTCCCTGGCCTCAGCCTTTCTTCTTGGTCCTGACCCTGCTGGCCCCGCCTTTCCACAGGACCACAAGCATTTCAGTACCTTCCTACGAGATAGAGGCAGAGGTGGGCAGGTAAGGATTAGCGCAGGCAGGCGGGAGAGGAGGGGACATGCAGGAAATGAGGGGAGGCTGGAGTCCCGGTGTACCCGCCAGGAAAAAAGTGCCAGAGGAGTTGCTGCCTGCATGAGAGCATATGGTCTGGATAATGATAGCAAAAGGCCAGAATCCTGAATCAAGGGGCGGGGGAGCAGCTCCCAGGTGTGCAGAACTAGCAGATTCTCCCAACTTAAATTCAAGGCTGCCCTGACAGGTCTGCACTGAAATTCTCATTCCCTTGCGAAAGGGCAGACCCAGGGCTCTCAGACTGTCCCTAAGCCCAAGTTATATCCTGACCCTTCGAGCAAAGGGCAGACAGGGGAACACCAGCAGGCCAGCCATGTGCACTGGTGAATTAGCATCTGATCTAGGGGCGACCAAGGGTAGACGCCTGGCCAGACAGCTGGAACCATCAGACAAGATGACAGGGAAGACCTCCTGGGGAAAGCATCACATGATCTGAAGTTCCAGCTTGTGGGGGAGGGGGAGAAGGATCAGGGCTTTCTTGGAGGATTCTAAGGGGGGTACTTGTCAGGCTGCTCCAGCTAACATGTTTCTTAGTTTTCCAAAAATCAGGGTTTTTTGGTTTTTTTTTTTGGTCATGCCCCCAAAATATGACAGTACAGTACAGGAATGTGTAGAAAGTGAAAAATTATCTCTAATTCCAATATACAGAAATATACTTCTGCAAATGTACCTGCCCTTGGATCCTGGTGCAGGAGCTGAAGATCACACCTGAAGCAAAGGCGGGTCATCCTACATAAGACCTCGTGATTTGCTTGACTGGTTTGGGGCACTCCGGCCTCACCTCTCAACAGTCAGTGCAGATGGAGGTGGGCTCACCTGACCCTAAGGCAGCAGAAGCCTCGGCACCTTTCACTGGCTTGGCCCCTCCCAGGGTCTGTTCCTCACTTTTTGTTTGCAATTTTGCATTCTTTAATGCAGGTCTCTTAATTCCTATGAGATCCAGGCTCCACAAAACCTGCCTCTGGCTGCTCGGTATCCAGGGTCTGGATGCAACCAGAAGCTCAAGACAGACATGCCGCCATCTTAGTGGGGCATTGGTTCCATGCTCACATCATCCCACAGACTCTGGCTTCATGGGATACTCATCTGAAAGGAAGGCCTCCTCTGACCACCTGGTCCTGGTATGGCCCACATGAAGCTTGTATGTGTGGCACAGCACCCATCATCCCCTCCTGTCACCTGTCCCCGTCCCATTGTCACAGGTGGCGAGCATTACGAAGGGGTGGGTGAGTGCCCAATTCGGCACTAACACCCCTGGCTATGCTCTTCTCAAGTGGCCTGGACCAGAGCCGAAGCCAACAGCTATGGGATGGCTGGCACTAGGAAAGCTAGAGTGGACAGGAGTGGGTGGGCTCTGCTGCTTCTCTAGGCCTTGACCACCAACAGGTCAGGCAGGGAGCTGCCCAAAACATGTTGCCATGCCAGCATGTGAGAAGCCCTGAGTGGCAGACAGGAGGCCACCTGCTTACACACTGTCCCCACCAGTAACACTTCTCCAAGTGCTCAGCGCCTACTACTGGTTGGTTCAGTCCTCGTGGCCCTTAAAACGCAGAGCCAATTGTCCACAATCATCGACAGACTTTTTATTATTTCTGTGTAAAACTGAATCTGCTTCACAGTGTGGGAGGTGAATACAGGAGCCCAGGCTGGACACTAAAGAAGGACTGAGTTTCTTTTGGGAGATTTGCAGTGACCTCGGGGGCGGGGGGACGGGAGTGGAAAAAAAGGCCCTCGAGGATCTTTATTGCTTCCAGCCTCCAGCTAGGCAAGGCAAAGAAGGCTCAGGAGTGGGACCTCCCCACCGTCCCCGGTGCAGTGGAGGCTGTGTCCGGGCACCAGTTCAGGCTGATTCTCCAGCTACTAGGAGCCCTACTCCAGAAGGCCTGGGCCGAAGAGCCGGCTGGCCCGAGTTCGTGCCCCCTCCCGGGGAACCTGCATCTGGTGGGGCTGGATGGCAGGAGAGTGAATGTAGGACAACTCTAAAGAGCAAGCCACTTTCTGGACTCTTGACGAAGCATCCCGGCCCATCCACCAGCCATACCCAAGTGCACGCCCACAAACTTCTTGTTGGAAACTCGACCTTGACACCTGCCACCTGTAGGGACGAGACAAGGTCACGGTCTCCCAGGAGTCCTCAGGATTGCGGCCACGCCGGCCCTCTGCTGCACTGCAGTCCACGGCTGACAGCCCTGACGAACCCGCCGCGGCCAACACAGCTGCCTAGCACGGAGAGCCTACTCCGCATCCGCCCCCGCGGCCTGCCCTCCTCCGATGCACCACTCTCCACACTGGCTCCCCGCCCTGGGGGAACCCCAAGCCCAAGCAGCACTACGGAGAGCAGACCCCAGGACTGCAGCCGCAGGCTTCCTATGGAGGAAGCCCCGCCCATGGGCGCGCCTGCGCACTGCCGACCCTCGGAGCCCGGGGGCGCGTGCGCAGAAAGAGCGGCCCGGCCCCGCTCGCTTAGGTCCCCGTCTGCGCCTGCCCAGAATAGGCGCGGTGCTAGCGGCGTCCGAGGGCGGTGACGTCACGACCGCGCGCGACCTGGGCCGGCGTCGAGTTCCGGGACGCTCCGCGCGGGCCCGAGACGAGCGCCGCGAAGCTCTGCGGTGTCGGCGCGGACGGAGGGGCGTGAGGCCCGTCCTACGGTGGCCGCGGAGGGACGGCGCTACGGCTCCCACGCTGGGCCAAACGCCTCCGGCGGCCCGGCCCCGGCGCGCCCTCCTCTCCGGGCGGTCCTCAGCCGGCGGCGCATAAGGGGCCGCGGCCGATGTCCCGACCCTTGGCAGCATGCAGCCGCCCCGCTGTCGCAGTCCCGGGACACAGGGTCGCTTGCAGGCCTGGCCCCCAGCGCCGCCGGCCTGTCGCGTGGTCCCGGACGCCGGCGCCGCCGCGGAGAGGGCACCCGGTGAGCGGCCGGGGGGGTGGGGGGGGGACCGGCCTCGGGGGCCGTCTCCAGGGCAACGGCGGCGCCGACACCGGAAGTGGCGCCCGCAGACAATCTGGGTAGTGGGCCGGGGTCGGGCGAGGCCTGCCGGGCTCTCCAGGACGGCGCGCGTTCTCGCATGGCAAGCGCTGGTCTATCCTAGGAGTCTCCTGCCGAGTGGCCCGCGCCGTGGTCAGCGAGCTTGAGCGCGGTCTGTGCGGAAACGCGTGCCTCGGGGACGTGCGGCCAGGTGGATGACCCGCGTAGCCACACGCACCTGCCGTCCGCGCGCCCTGCCTGAGACGCGGACCTCTGGCTGGCTCCAGCGCGCTGCCTCCCAGCCCCGAGTGCAACTCAGTACCAGGGCGCGGGGGCCAGCATGGAGCCCTCAGAGAGAGGGCGCGCGACCCCAGCTGCGAGGTGTCCAGTGACACGCCCAGACGAGGGTGTTACCTTGTCCAGCTGCGCAGCAGCGCGCTCCAGACTGGGTAAAGCTTAGCTAAAGCGCCGGGATTTGGTTCCCTCCCCCTGCCTTCTTGGACGGCCATTTGCTCTATACCTGCGGCTGGGAGGGGAGCTGGCCTGAAGTCCAACGCAGAAGCTGTTGGCAAAGTTCCCCCGGTCCTGTTGCCAACTTTCATTCTCCAGTGTTCTACAGCCTGAACTTTGAGTTCTGTTTCCATCCACAAAGTATGTAGGGAAGCTGTAGATAGCATCTACTAGGTGAAACTACAGAACCATGTGCCATTTCTCCGAGGCCCAAGCTGACCTGTGCTCAGCGATGACATCTTAGACGTCACCCCCTGTGAAGGCAACTCCAGAATGGTGGCTCTTGATGTCCCCGTTTGCAGAGTGGCCCTCCGCCTGTTGTGAAGGACTCATCCCAATTCTCTTGTGGTTCCTGTGGGATGCCCCCCCACAAGGGTTGTTGTCCCTGGACAAAGGAAGTCCTGGGTAGAAGTAGCCATGCAGAATAAAGGTAACCTGGATTATGGGGGCCGCAAGAGGCCATAGGAAGGAGTGGCTTAATCAGGCTCCACTCATCTTGTCTCCATTGGTTTGGCACTGTGTGCCCCAAGGAGGGTCTCTTCTGGCAACTCTGGGTGGTCGGGGAGAACTCGGATGTGAACAGGATGGGCACTTTTGGCTTTCACATGTGGGTCCCTTGGAAGTGTTCTCAGGAGGGTTTGTGAGAGGAGCAAAGCAGGGAGGACTGAGCCCCAGGGTGCAGCCCCAGGCCTGCCATTTGTGCCTGTCTCAGTGCCCTCGCACTGACTCAGTCCTATCTTTGTCCCTCTCCCTACAGGCCAAAGCCTCCCCTGAGGCCCAACTGAGGGCTCCCAGGCCTAGGTGCCCATGACACCTATGGTGGATGCTGCCTGGACTCCGCACTGCCTCTGCGAGCTGTCGCTGCCGCTGCCGCTGGGGCCCAATGCCGGTCATGCCCATCCCGCGGCGGGTGCGCTCCTTCCACGGTCCGCACACCACTTGCCTGCACGCAGCTTGTGGGCCAGTGCGCACCTCACACCTGGCGCGCACCAAGTACAACAATTTCGACGTGTACGTCAAGACACGCTGGCTGTACGGCTTCATCCGCTTCCTGCTGTACTTCAGCTGCAGCCTCTTCACCGCGGCGCTTTGGGGCGCGCTGGCCGCGCTGTTCTGCCTGCAGTACCTGGGTGTGCGGGTGCTGCTGCGCTTCCAGCTCAAGCTGTCGGTGCTGCTGCTGCTGCTGGGTCGCAGGCGTGTGGACTTCCGCCTCATGAACGAGCTGCTAATCTACGGCATCCACGTGACCATGCTGCTGGTCGGGGGCTTGGGCTGGTGCTTCATGGTCTTCGTGGACATGTGAGGGTGCTCGGCCTTCCACGGAGCTTTCTTGGTTGTGCCAGGTCCTGATTTTTTCCTTGATGGATGGGGCTGGTCAGGGCTCTTTCTGCCCCATCCTGCAAGTGAGGCCCACAGCACACGCTCCCACTAGGGAGAGAAAAGGGCTGAGATTTCTCCATGATGGGGACCCTGCACTGTTCCTCCCGCTTGCTCTGCACTAGCTTCCCTTCCCTGTGTGCCAGTCCAGGTGCAGCCTCCTTGCTTTCCTGCCTGTGGTTGCCACTTGCACTTTTCCAGGTCATCCTGTGGGTGGCTTATGTGTTCAGTCTGCATCTTGGGATCCTCTGGGTGACATCCAGACTGTCAATAGGTCACACCAGTGATTTGGGAGAGCCCTGGACACAGAGGGGCCTCCTAGCTGCACAGCCCCATCCCACATACCCCTGATCTCACCCCAGCCTCAGAGACCTGGCAGGCTCCCCAAACAGACACACTGCACTGCCACAAAGTTGTCTCTACCCTGGGCTGTCTGAGTCCTGCTCAGACCACAGATCACTCCTCTTCACCGAGGAGGGTCCACTGTGCAGACCTGAGTATCAGGCCAGGCCTCAAGGTCGCCTTGGCTTGCTCAGATGCAATCCAGGAGTACACTGAAGACGGCACGGGCCCGCAAGTAGCTCCCATTTTCCTCACTCTAGGCAGGTGTGTTGAGAATGTCAGGCCAGTCCCTAAGTCCCTTCAAATGTGGGTCCCTGGGGAGGCCATTCCCACTGTGGTTTTGGGGGGCACTTAAGCCCTTTTTACCTGAGGAATTGAGACCTGCCTGACTCCAGCAGATGACAGAGGTTGTGAGGCCCATAGCAGAGAACACAATCAAACTGACAGTTCCTCTTAGGGTGGCACGTGCAGCCCTCATGGGCTGTCCATGAGCAGGCTGGCGCCTCTTGTGTCCTTGCCATGGCTACTAACACATGACTGGTGTGGGACAGAACCATGGGCCAGGAGGGTGTCTACAGGGCAGAAGTAGCAGACCCCCTACGCTGGCCTCTGTCAGGTGGGGGCCTGGTGCTTTGTGCTATGATTTACAGGAAGTTGGGGGCATGGGTGGCCAGTGAAAGGTGTGGAAACAGGATATTGGGCCTGAGGATAGCTAGTTGGTCAACAGTTGTTTCACCCCAAATTGTCACCCCTACCCCCTGGGCGTGGATGTGGCCCTTTGACCCTACCCTGTGAGGCAGACCAGTGGCTGGGGCTCTGTGAGAACAGTTGGGTGCCACTGGAGGGAAACTTAAAAACCCAAACAGGTAGGGAAAGCAAAAAACACTGGCTATAAACCAAGCTCTTTAATTTGTGGCCAGCTTCCGTTCACTGATCTAACAGAAGGGCTCCGTGGAGGATGTCTGTCTGATTTCTGGACTGGCAGGCGAGGAGCCTTCCCAGTGAACCTCGCTTCTTGCTGCAGATAATCTTTTGCACTAAATCATGCTCTTTCCTCAAAGAAGTTTTGTTCTGTGTTAATTAGCTTGTGCTACTCAGAGTTGCTGTAGCCCCCTTGCTGGGTGATGAGTTGGGGGCTGGTGGTGGGAGGGGATGGCTGTGCTAGAGGGCAGCAGGACCTTGTCACATGCTGCACACCTGGCTGCCCAGTGTCCCGAGTGCCTGTTAAATTCTTTATGAGATGAACCACCTGCATTAAACCTATTTTTTTAATGTGTTGATGGAGTGGTTTTTTTATTTTTTTTGGTATTGGGGTTTGAACTCAGGGCCTTATGCTTATTACACAGGTGCACTGCCACCTTAGCTACACCTCCAGCTGGAGTGATTGTTGAGACCAGGGCCTCATATCTACTAGGCGAACTCTATCATGGAGTTCATTTCCAGCCTCTAAAGCTCAAAAGTTTTCTTAAGGACAAAAATCATCAACCAAAATACCATAGAAACCATCCTCCTGTAAAATTGGAATGACAAATGATTCCACTGTGGGGAACTGCCTGGGATGTGACCCACGGAGGGTCAGTAAATAAAGATGGGGTGTCTCTGATGCTTTTCTGAAAGGATAGGAGGGGGCCTGTGAGCACAAAAAGAAGCCAGGAGGGAGAAAATCGAAGTCTTATTTAATGAAGGAATGCTTCCATTTCCTTCAAGGGGAACAGGAAATGTTTCTCCCCCCAACCTCCACCTTGTCTATACTTTATCCTGTTAAACTAAAATCCTTGCTACAACTTCAAAAAAACGAGAAGATGAGCAGTGCCTGTTTGAGTCGTCGCTCCTAAAGGCTTGTAGAGAGTTCACGGTCATCATTCCACTTGCAAAGACCTTCCAAGAGGAGGAGGAAATGACTGACCATTATGCCCTAGGGCATCATTTGGAGGAAACCTAACAAAATAAACTTGAAATTCAGAGTCTAAATTCCTTACAAAAGCCTTTGCTCCAAGGCAGCTGGGAACTGAGGAAGCTGAGGTGCGTTTCCCATGCAGGCCAGGGCTTCAGCAGGCCCTTGTCTTGGGCTCCAGGTCAAGCCCTGACAGGGCTGTAGCACAGGGCCCCAGGATGGCCACCCAAGTGCACCTGTGTGGTGGTGCCCAGGAACCCAAAGCTGGGTCCATTATCACACATGCATGAGGGTGGTAATGGCTGTGACAGTGGCCCTGCTAGGTCACTGAAGCCAGAGGGTACATCTACTTTCCCCAGGAGCTTCCTGGGCCTACCTTGTTTTCTGTGGATGTGAAGTGGTTGGCTGGTTTTGCAGTGCTGGGAGTGAACCAAAGGCCTCAGACATGCTAGGCAAGCCTTCCACTGAGCCACACCCCAGCCCCTGTAGTGCTCCTTATTTCTTGTCTTGGCCGTCTCTGTCCAGTAGAACTCCCTGCAGTGGGCAAAGGCTCCATTTGTGCCATGCAGTGCAGGACTCACCAGCCCTGAGAGGAACGGAGTTGCTCAGCAGACTCAGCAGCTGAAGTCCTGGTTGGGGGCTGTCTGTGGCTAGGTTTTGACAAGGGCCCTCCATGTGCTCCAGGAGGAGCATGGTCCCTGGCCTCCGCGTGGATCAATGTGGCCTTAGAGGAGCCAAGCTGAGCCAGCTCCTCCTGTGGCAAAGAGACCTTCCTGGGAGTTAGGGACTGTAGAGCAGCTGCCACCCAAGGGCTTAGGGCCCCGTTAACTGGATGTTTGCCCTGTTTGACAGCCACTGTGTTTGAGGTGATATACTGAGCTGTGCCAAGGGCTGCAGCCCCTGTGACGAGAGCTGAGGTTACTCAGGGATTGCCCCCAGACCCCCTGTCCAGTGATAGACCAGGCAGTGCTGTAGGTCCTGGCTAAGATGGAATTTTGGGACTGTCTGTGGAGGGCAGCTGGGGGACCCCCAGCAGCAGCTGTGCCTCCCCTATCCCCTGCCCTGGGACATTTCTTATTCAGAGATTTATTTGCCTGTTTAGGGCTCTGCTTCTTGGGGTACTGGTGGCTCATGCATGTAATTCTACCTACTTGGGAGGCTGAGATTGGGAGGCTCGCAGTTGGACATCAGCTCCCATCTCCAAAATAACTAAAGCAAAGTGCACTGGAAGTATGAGTCAAGCAGTAGAGTGCCTGCTTTGCAAGCAAGAAGCCCTAAGTTCAAACCCCAATCCAACAAAATAAAAATGGGGAAGGTGCTCTGCTTCACCATGAAAACATGGGAATGACTGCATGCTTGGAGACCCAGGGAGGAGTCAAGGTCAGGAGATGCACAGCCAGTGATGGCTGCTTGCCAAAGTCTCAGGTGGGGCCAGCAATTGCACAGGGGACTGGTGTAGGAGACAGGATGGACCCTACAAAGTCATTCAGCTACCCTTCCCACAGGGCACAGGCTGCCCATGAGGTAGAAAAGGGACAGGAAAAGCAGCAAGGGTAACTTCCAGGCATCCCTTATGAGCTGGGCAGGAGGCCACTTGCCGCCCAGTGGCTGGTGGGAAAGGGAAGGGGATGAAGACAAGAGACTGGACACCTGCTGAGATGTTTCTGAAGTTGGCAGACCTGTCCAGCCTCGGGCTGGCTCAGGGGACCCAGTGACAGCACCTGAGCAGTGGTGGCAGGTGGGCGGTTGATTTGGGAGACAGGAGCTGGGCACTGAGCCTCTTCCTGGAGGGAGGGGTAGAGGAGAAACAGCCCAGGCCCGACCATGAATACACACAAGGCAGAAGGGCTATGCCCAGGGGGATCTCGGGGGGAGGGAGTCCAGAGGGGTCAGAGGGGCTCTAGGGAGCATGGGCCCTGTGCAGGACGGGGTCAGGACAGGAGCCCAGGTAGAGAAGGGAGGAGTGGAGATGAGAGCCATGATGGGCAAAGGACTGGGTTGGGAAAGCACAAGCCAGGTGTGAGGGGTGCAGAAGGAAAGGCCTAAGCCAAAGCCTCCCACAGCAGAATCTGGCTCAATTTCCAGCCTGTTCCTGGGAGGGGGCTGTGCTGAGCAGCTGTGGGAGGTCTATTCTCCATCATCTAGCATATGATGCTATCCAGAGGACCACCTCTCCTAAATGGAGAATGTGGGGTCTCCATTAGTGTTGAGGGCGATCTGGAGCCAAGGAGCCAGCAGGGGGCAGGTGACAGCAAGGAAGGCTTGTGCTTGGGGAATTTCTAGAAATGCAATTCTGATGAGAGGCCAGGTGCTGCCTATTCCCAGGCCCAGGATAGACAGGTGGTCCTGAAGACCTGCTCTGTGCCCAGAAACCAACCAAACAACGCTTCTGAAGCTGCTGGTAGAGAACCAACCAAACAACGCTATGGTTTTGACATGACTTTGACTTTCCCAGAGTGGTGACAGGAAAGGACAGCTAGGGTAAGGGGTCTACTGAGAGGGAGGGGGTCAGAGGCTAAACACAGCTACCACCCAGGGAGGACAACAGGAGCAGGCACGGGCCAGAGCACGACCCACTGCCACTGCAGCCAGTCTGCACTGTTATTGATGTTCCCTGACCTTGGGAAGGCCCTGTCCCTGCCAGCCTGGGAGGGGGAGGGAGCCGGCTGGCGGCCTCGCCTCTGTGTGCTGATTCAGCATTTTCTGTGGAAAGGAAGGCGCTGGATTTGCAGCGACCAGCGGCCAGTGTTCTTTTCTCTTCTCCCTTTTTGGTCTTGTTTGGAAAAAAGGGTCCCTGTCTGCCCAGCCCCTCCCAGGAAGGCCTTTCCTCCTCCTCTTCCCCCACAGAGGCCCTGTGCTCTGCAAGGCTCCCAGGAAACAGCATTTTCTGACTGGAGCATAGCAGGGGCGACTTTCCAGAAATCCCAGGATTCTGGTGTGCCTCTCCGACAGTTCCCGAAAGACAGAGTTATCGTTCCCCACCCCCCTCGCCCCCCAGCAGCATCCTTGCACAAGCAGGGACGTCCAGCACAGCTGATTCAGCAGCTCTTAGCCCTCGCCCCTCCCCCGCCTGGCTGGGCAGCATGCCCAGGCCTGCTGGCAGCTGTGTCACACGGGGCCTCCCGCAGGGTTGGGTGGCCCGCACTGTGCCTGGGGCGGGGTGGCAGATTGAAGGGCGCTGGCTGCCAGGTGCCCTCTCCCCGCAGGGTGGCTCCCCTGTCTGCCTGCCATGTAGTCAGTAGTTCTCTTGCACCTTCCTGCAGAAGAGCAGCTGCAGGAGGGTGCAGCTGGTCACAGGGTGGCAGAGCTGCTTCTTGGGGCCTGAGGTACCATCAGCCCCAGGAAATAATCTCATCCTGAGCCAACAGGTAGTGGCTACCTACCTCAAGCCTCCCAGAGCCCAGATCAAGGGTGGCCGTCCTCCGTCCATCTCTGACTGGTGTAACAGTGGCCAGTTGGAGGCTGAGAGGTCGGAGCGTGGTTGTACATACCCATCCTGAGCTCCAGGGCAGCAGCCTGGGGCCACAGATGGCCAGGGCAGGAGGGGACAACAAAAGGAATGAGCTAGAACTCACCGACTCCTAAGATAGTGGGACCCTGGGTGTAGGCTGCAGAGATGGTCAGGCTGAGAGGGCTGCAGCCTCAGAGGAGGGCAGGTGGAGGTGAAGCTAGCCAGAGGTTGAAGGAGGAAGCCTGGGTAGGTGAGGAGGTATGGCCAATAACGACAGATCAGGCCATGGGACAAGCAGGAACCATTGGGTGGCCACGGGTCAGAGGGTGAGGGTTGGAGAGGGCAATTCTGCCCCATCCTGTTGAACTCTGTGGCTGATGAGTGGACAGGTCATTGGTCATCAGCTACATATCGACCATCACTCATTAAGTGAGGACTGGCATTCTTTCTGCTTTCTCAGAATACTAATGGCAGTCTGACTGAATGCCATATGAATATTCATGCAGATATCAACCAAGTCCAGGCTGGCACTGATAGCACCCAAAGATGGCCAGGATTGGTTAGGCGGCTCCAGTACTGTATGCAGTGGGCACTCCGAGGGGGTGTGGCTGTGCACCCCGCCTCGTGGACAGGCCTGGGCTGGGCAGATGACATCACCACTCTTCAGCCCCCTTAGCCCAGGGAGCAGGAGTAGGTGTGGAGCTCTTTCCCCACAGGCCCGGAAGAGGTTCTGCTCAGTGAGATGCCAGGCACTGACTGCCTTCACGAGACCCACATGAAGGGACAGGTGGTTGGCCTGGGCCAGGCACAGCCTGGTGTGCTGGGTGGCCAGGGCAGATCCTCTAGGGAGCCCCCAGATGACCTTGGGCTGGGCTTGGGGCCCAGCACCTCCAGGAGCTTCCCTGGGCAACCTGCTCTGACAGCCAACTGCTCTCTTGAGTAGATTCACAGAACAGAGCATGTG